TTGGTTGGGATTTTGTGAGAAATATTTTAAGGTATACCTGTTTAGTTATGGTGTTTGTCCGCTAGATGTCGTTGGCATATAAGGAAAAATAGTGCGATTGTATATTTAATTGTAAATTACGTATTTTGACAATTTTTTTTTAAATTTTATTTTGGGAAATAATGTAATATATTGATTTTTTTACATATATTTTTATTTTTAGTTGATCGTTCAGCAGTTGCCGAAGGATTTAGTGAGGAACTATTTTAATTTCTTAATATTACACCGCGAGAGTGGGCGTCTACATGGTGAAATTGCATTTCCGCCATTTTATTATACGCAGTTTCGGAGTGCAGTGAAGATCTGTTTTTAATATTTCTTTATATTTTTTTTAGTTTGTAGATATAATTTTGTTAATATTTTATAGATGACAGGAAGATTTTTTTTTTAAGTTTTGAATTTTATCTGAACATGAACTTTATTTTAAGGCCTTTTGTTGTTTAAAGTGTGAAAATGTATCTGCTTTTGAGTTGGTTGTATAATTTGATTTTGATTTTTCAAGTTTTTCAGATTCGATAAGGATGGCTTATTTAAAAACATTAAGCCCTTCCTGCGGATTTACGGATGTTCTTGGCTATTTTGCGGATCGATTTTTGTTATATAACGGGACGCATTTGGTATTTAAGGTAAACATACATTTTTTTTTTTTAATTTGGATGCGTGAGGTTGGTTATGATCTTTTATTGGTTTGATGTGAATGAAATTTTGTTTTTGTGTTTAACGTAAAATTTAATGAAGTATTTTAATAATTGATTATTAGAGCTTATAGTGTGTTGAGATGGGTTGTATTTTTCAATTTGTAGGTAAATATTGTTTTATTAATTTTAGTGGGTTTGTGTCATTTTTATATTTGTTGAAAAATACAAATTTTGAGTTTATTTGGTTTTGTGCTGAGGACGTTATTTGATTAATTTTGTTGTGTTTATGTGGATTGTGTTCAAGAATTTTTCTGAATGGTATGATTATTCGTTCAAGGTTGCATATTAGTTTTTAATAAGTGTAATGTCTGGGGCAAGGGGCTTCTGGTTAATTTTGTTTAAACCGAGTTTACAACAAGGATTAATGTAATGGGCAAGGGTTTGATAAATTTTGTATTGCCACAATTTTAACAAAATTTAATTTAAGGGGCAAGGTTTTGTCAAATAAATTTTGTATTGCCACGATTTTAACAAAATTTAATGTAGGGGGCAAGGGCTTGTTTGATAAATTTTGTATTGCCACGATTTCAACAAAATTTAATGTAAGGGGCAAGGGTTTTTTTTGTATGTTTTATTAAATATTTGAAGTATTTTTGTTAAGGACGGAAGTGTCCCGTTGTCTGTGACTGTGATTGTGGAGGATGGTGGGGAGCTGGATAGCGTGAAGGATTTCTTTGTTGGAGGAGGAGTAGGGTTTGTTCTTGCCTGGATTATAGTCTTGTTGTGGGATTGCTTGGCTCGGTAAGTTCAATTATCTTATTTGTTTTTTGAAAGTAAACAAAAGGAAAGGGTGATTGTTTTTGAGTTAGCGTGGAATATTATTGGAGGATTTAGTTTTTGAATTATTTTTCATGCATGATATTTGAAAGGTTTCTATGTTAAGATAATTTATGTTTAGGTTTGGATGGACAGTTTCTTTGCAGTATTTAATTACTATATGGATGGATTTAGCGAAGGACAATCGTGTGCTCTCATTTATATAGGTTAGTGAAATTTTAGTATTTGATGAATGTTCATTTGCTGAATGTTTGCTTTGACATATGAATGGTTTATGGTTGTAAGTGTGAATAGTGTTTGAAATATGAGAATATTTTGAAGATTATAATCCTCGATGAAATTATAATCCGCGCGACAGGGGGTGGTGAAGTATTTTGTGTGTTATTCATGAGTTCTGGGTATTGTTAGTTGGCGGTTAATATAGCTAAGTGAAACATGTCTCGGGAAAATTATGACGAGGAATATCCTCCTATTACTTCGATTTACCCTGTTCATGACGAAGTTCTCGACGAAATACTTGGGAGTTCTCCACGTAGGCCGTATCCTGATTATCCTGGGCCTATTCAGGATCAGGATTTGATGTGTTATTCCTGTTATGGGAGAGGAAGGGGAGGTTGTAGATGTTCTCCCAGTGAGGGTTTTGAGAGCAGTGAGGATGAGGAGGATACTGACGTTGGAGAGGATAATGACAGTGGAGAAGATACTGATGGTGGAGAGGGAGAGAATATTAACGGAGATGTAGTGGGTGAGGGGGGTGAAGTCGCCGACGTGGCAGAGGAGCTTGTGGGGGAGGTTAGAGCTGTGGGTGAAGTTGTTGAGGGTGTTGTACAAGAAGTTGGAGCTGGTAATGTAGAGGGGGTTGTGGCTGGTGATGCTGTGGAGCCTGTTGATGTTGGAGAGGTTGTTATGGAGGAGGGAGTTGTTGTTATGGATGAGGGAGTAGCTGGAGTGGGAATTGCGGAAGGAAATGTTGAAGTTGGAGGAGAAGATAATGAAGTTGAGATATTGGATGCCGATTATTTGGGAGTAGTTCAGCACCAGGAGCGTGAGGATGGCGTTGAACAGGCTGTAGGTGGGGTAGAAAACTTTGAGATGGGCAACCAACCGTTACAGGGAGCTGCAGCTTTGCCATTGGTTAATGAGGTAGTTGTGGATGGTGAAGTTCGTCATCAGTTTCATGTCACTTTGGATCAACTGGCTCGTGAAGATTATGCTGCTGCTAGCCATCATAAAATTACACGGATTGAGGCGTGGATTATTGAGAAGAGGGGGGGTTTTGTTCCTTTAGATGACCCCTGTCCTTATAGTTCGGATCAGTTACGTAATGTTATCCTGGATGAGGTAGATGTTTGGATAGAGAGGAGGGAGATGCTGTACCGGGAGCAGACTGATATGCGGAGGTTGAATTGTAATATACAATATGAGGATGTCAACTTGTTGAATGGCGAATTTGCCATCAACAGGGGACTCCGGAATACGTATATTATTCTTGGGAGATTGGATTATGTTTATAAGGCCTTGTTAGAGGTTATGCGCAGGGAGCGTGTGGATGAGGAAGGAAGGATCATCATGCCCTAATTGGCGGGATAAAATGTTATATATTATTGTCAAATACTTGTTTGTGAAAATTTGCTTTAATATATTTGATTTATAAGTGAGGTTTTGTGGTTATTATAATTTTGTTTTGTTGTTTTATTGTTATGTTCTATGAGAAAATGTTTGGGAGATTGACGATTAACGGATAGTTTATGTTTGGAATAAAATAATGATTGTAATATTTTAGGGGTTACTTTACAGCTGTTTTCTCTGTCTTAGTTTTAAGAAGTGTGGAGGATCTAATCTTGAGGTGAGGTTGTATTTAAAGTTTGGTTATATATTTTTTTTTGGAAATTAGCGTATTGTTATTTAACTTGATTTTGTTATTTAATTGTTAAAATAATAGTTGTTGTTTAATAATTAGTGTAAATGTTTGTGGTATGCGTGTAATGAGTAATATGTAATAGGTAGTGGTCACGTCGAATCCGGTGGTCGAGATTGGTCTTGTGGGGAAAGGAGCGAAGTCTAAGAAGAAGGTGGAGCTGTTGAGGGTTCCGGTGGGGGGCGTGGAGGAAAACGAACCTGATGTTAATCAGAGTGTTGGAAACGGATCTGACGTTAATCAGAGTGCCCCTCCGCCCCCTTCTTATGAAGAATATATTCAAGAAATTCCTATATATCCAAGATTGAATGGAGAGTGGATACCTGTGGTGAAACAGCCTACTGGATGTTCTGTTCAAAATGATCCTAGTTCAGTCTTGCAGGAGTCAAGTGAATTATCCAAGGTTGTTGCGGTGGAAACATTACCGTCTGAAATTACAAACAGTCAACATGAAGCTGTTGTATGTCCTCCTGATCTTGATCGGATTCCGCCTGGGGAACTAGATGGGGCGAGAGCTTCAGTGACTGTAAGTGTTGAGATTGAAGATAAAAGTAATAAGCGTGTTGGGAGTGGAGCAGATATTCTTTATGATGATGGATGTGAGAAAGCCAGATCCGATTTTGATCGCGTTGATTCTGTTGAGGGTGGAGTAGTAGAGACTTCTATGAGTGGATTGATTTGCGAGACAGGAAAGAATGGTAATCATGGAGTTCGTTTAATGAGTCCTCGAGATTTTGAGATTGAAATGCGACACGAGTCTGAGTCTGAGCTGGAATCGGAGGCTGAGCTCGCGCAGGAGAAGGGTTCTGGGGAATCCGCCCACGTTCTTCCAGCTGAGAAGGTAAGGTTTGAAAGAGACGTTTTATTTGAAATCGAGGGAGAGGATTAAAATTATATTTTATGAAAGGTTTAATTTTAATATTATTTTTTTTTGTTTAAATGAAGATGACGTTTATTATTTGTAGTGGAGTGATGCCCGGGATGGTTATGGTTTTCTGAGCAATGACAAGATAATGCGAACTCCTCCGTTGAGTATGTCGGTCGATACACCTAAGACTGTTGTTCCTGGGAGGAGGGAGTTGGTTAGGAAGCGGAAACCTACCGATTTTTATTCTGCTCAGGGAATTTCTCTCATAAATTTGTCGAATGTTTATGTCTGTGTGATATTATTGCAGCGGTTGTTTTTATTTGATAGTGGTTGAAGTGAGTATGTAGCTTGATGATTGATAAATCTTGAATGATGCTAGGGTTGATTTGGCTTGAGAAGTAAAATTGCGAGTTTTTCTATGAGATTTGAAGTGCGATGTTTTGTTGATATTTATGAGAGAAGTTCGTTTAAAGTGAATATTAATCAGATTATATAACCAGTTATTAGTATTTGATTTTTTGGAAGGCCATTTGTTTTTTTTGAATATCTTAAAGTTTGAAATTTGGGAAGATGTTTTCGTTGATTTTTTTTGCATTTTTAAATTTATCTGCTGTCAAGGAGGTTTATTTACTTTAATGTTTAAAATCTGCCCAGCTAATTTCAAATTTTGTTGAAAATTTGATGACTATATGAGATTATTTTCAGATATTTTTAACTTATTTTAAATGGTTTGAGAAATGTTGCTTTGTTAGTTTGTCTGCTTTCAATGAGGTTAATATAGGTTTAATTTTTAATGTTTAATTCAGTTTTAAACAGTTGTTGTTTTGGCAGTTTTTTTTTATTGTAAGTTTGAATTTTTGATAAGTTAGTTTGAGTTAAGCAAGATATTTCGAAATTTGTAAAAATGTTTTCTTTTGAGTTAGTTTTTGAGTGAATTATATAATATTTTTGGTTTAATTATAGATGATTTTTATAATGTGTTTTGTTGTTCAGGATGTGAATTTAGAGGAGTGAAGATGAAAACTGTTATTTGCGAGCGGTATTGATGGTTGGTTGCAGCATGCGGGTAAACTTTTTTTTAAAATTTTTAATTTTGTTTTACGTTTATAATGGGGTTTAAAAGTATTGTGGTATAAAATTGAAACTTGTATATTTGCAGACATTGAAGATAAAAAAAATTAGAATTTAATCAAGTGGTAAATAAAATAGTTCTGTCCGGGCTTATTATTGAAAAGATTTTCACGTTATTATTTTTGTTTATATGGTCTCATTTTTGTTGTGATATAAGATTTTGGCTTAAATAGAGTGTGGAAAATTATTAATATAACGCGTTTTTAGTCGATTTAGAATATATTGGTTTAAAACGACATAATATTGTTTGCATGGGATTTAATTATTTTTTAAGGATTTAAGTAAGAATTGGAGAAAATATATTTGGAGAATGAAGGTTGAGTTTGCTTTTCTTAAAGGGACGTTGGATTAGAATTTTGTTAAAGGTAATAATATTTGAATTTAGTTTTTTTTTAAATTTTTTTATAGATTTTATTTCAGGTGTCTATATATTGTTATAGGGACAAGTTTATGACATTTGAAAAAGGAAAACTATTTTTTGATTTTGAGCAAAGAATTAATTTTGAAGTTGCACATTATTTTTTTGAAAATAACGATAATGAAAATAAGAAAAGAAAAGAAAATCAATATGTTTAATTATTTATCCAGAGAAATCAAAATAAAAGAACCCAAATGTCTCAAATAAGAACATAACTAACCAAGGAATGTTAAAATCGTTCTGAAAATTTAAGGAATTTTGGACCTAATTTATAGTCTGGATTTTGTCCCGTTAATGGATGGGATTATATATGTTTTGACTTTCAAGAGTTGGAAAATAAATGATTAAGGTGGACTGCGAAGTTTTGATCAACTGGTCTGAGAGTTTTGATTTTTGCCTGGTGAATAGATGAGGTCCGAATTTTTTTTGGACCCATAAATACCGGGCATTAAATGATAGCTGGATTGATCTGATGGAAATATACGAAGATTGTTAATAGTTTGAAATAAATGTTAGATTTTATTTATTTTATCTTTCAGTATGAAAAAAATTTGAAAAGATTTTGCTATCAATTTAATGGGAGAAAACTATTTTCATAGTAATAACATTAGAGATGTTATTAAAAAAACTATTTTTAAAATATTAAACATTTTTATCTTATATTTGGCATGCAACGGCTGAACCGAATTTTATGAGACGCGTAAAGGCTATTCCGTGTAAATTGAAATTTGGTTGAGGTTATACCATAATAGATTTATTTCAAATTTATATTAATTTATGGTGCGTAACAGCTGAGCCGATTTTTGAGGAGTTAAGGTTTAATTTTAAAACAACGCCATTATGTATTGATTTAAAGTTTTGTATTATGCAATTTATTTTAAAATTTGTTTGGACTTGCAGCAACTGAACCGAATAATTTAAAGGTTTTTCAATGTATGATAGTTTTTTTTAAATTTTCCTTTTATTTTGGAGTTTGAGAGGACAAATTTAATGAAATCATTAATTACGGTTTTTAGAAAAGGACTTAATTTAAGGTATACTCTTATCTGCACGTTAAATTTGATGAGTTATTTTTGTTAAACTGATTACTTTAATAATTTGAAAGGACGGTTTTGTCGTTTAAAAGATTTAGATAATAAGGAAAAAAAAATGTTCATTTATGCAAAAGCTTTATGAAGACGTTCATACGAGTTTAAAGAAAGGTTTAAAGAAATATTGTTTTTAATTGAACGGTTTAGACGAAGGCATTTAAGTGTATTTTTGGTCAAAGTACTAGAAAGTTCCTGGTTTCGTTTACCAGATGCGATATTTATTAAATTTATTTTGAACAGGTAAGTTTGTAACTTTTGGATATTTTTATTTTACGACAATTAGAATATGCCTAGAGAATCAAATCTGATTATTTATGACTGAGTAAATTATTTAGTTAGAAAAAAAAATTTATTTACAATAAAAATACAGCAGAAAGGTTGGTTAAAGGTTTCAATTAAGTCTGATTATTTATGACTGAGTAAATTATTAGTTAAAAAAAATTTATTTACAATAAATTACAACAGTAAGGTTGGTTCAAGGTTGCCGGCATCCATCTAAAACAAAAGAGGTGTTAATTTTAGGCTGACAGTTTTTCTTTGAGTATTGTCAATGTTTTGAATTTTTTGTTTTTTATAATAACAAATAATTCCGCAAGTTATTGGGAGTAAAATAATTAACGAGAAGCTACCTATTCCCCAACTTATGTAGGTTAAAATATTGGTAATGGGGATAGGGATCATGAAGTCGGTTAGTAAATTGAGTTCTTCTTGTGTTAAGGTCAAGGTTTGAATTTCTTCTGGTAAGTTAGTGGCTGATTGAAGAGTTATGATACTGTCTTTTGTGTTAATATGTATAGGGTTATTTGATTGTACGTGAAACGGTAGTTCGGGGTTTGTGGGAATAGAATTCAGGAGATCTGAATTCTCAATTGTAAATGGTGAATAGGCAGGGAATAAGACTCCTGTGTGAGTAAGTGTTGGTAGTTGGGTTTGTGTTTCTATAAATGGGCAATCTTTAATTAATTTTTTTTATTGTGTTAGACAAAATAGCGTTTGAACATTTCGGATTGAAAGGTGTGCATTTACAACCTGTGTATATCTTATTGTCTTGGTGTAAGCAATGGCATGTGGATAGTTGATCATTTATTATAAAGGTATTTTGAAATTTATGTGTTTCCCAAAATACGATGTTGGTGTGATTTCAAATGCATTTTTTGTGTGTTCAAATTGGTTAATTGATATTGATATGGTTAGTCCTGTTTTGGTGGAGATGACGTTTGTGATTGTGAGTTTTTCCATGAGAGTACTTTTTATGCAAGGTGAGTCTTGTATTGCCATCATGATGTGTTCTGTTACCTGGTGGTTCAATATGTTTTCTAGTTCGACAATTTCTGAGTTGAGTAAAAATATAATTTCATTCATGTCTAAAATTGCTTGCATTAGTATTCCACTGGTACGTTGTCGAGTGTTAGTGTCTACCTGGATGTTAGAGTTTGGTGCCGGTAGATCTTTAACTAGAATTTCTATTTCATTGAGGAGATATTTTGCTGTAGATTCCTTAAAAAGTTGAATTATTATTTCACATTTTTGGGGTTCTTTGATGATATTGGGGTTTAAATATTTAGTTCTTTTTGCAATAGATTCATTTAGTGCATTATACTGCTCTTCAATAGTTTTAGTTTGAATTTTTATTTCATCTGGGATATTAGTGCCTGGCTTAATGAGTTTTTTTATATTATTGGTAAATGCGTCTGAGGCAAGAATTTCAATGCTGTTGACTTGGTAAAAAAGGTTTATTGTTCTTTGATTAAAATTCTTATTTATTGTTACCGGTTGTTTTTTGTAGAAAGGTTGGAGGTTACCATGCACCTGGACCAGTAGCAGGAGCAGAGCAGTCAGCAGGACTCTTGTACCTAAATTAAAAGGTTAGTTAAAAGTTAAAAAAAATTATTTTCTTTTAAGGGAATTTTTTCTTTTAAATTTATTTTTAAGATTTAATTTTTTTTGTTAAAATTAGAAATAATTGGGTTCCTTATGTTACCATGTGGGATCTGAAGGATGGTTCCAGAGTGACGTCATTAAGGAGTTGTAAGCCGTCCATGATTAAGAATAGTAGTCTTGCTCCCTGGCTTATGCTGTAATCAGTTAACGAACCATCTATGTGGTACATAGGTTCTTTAGGGGTTGAGACTAAAGGGACGGTAGTTGTTCCTGTGTAACCAATCATTCCCGCTGGAAGTACTAGTGGAATTTTCATGACGAGTGAAATGATTTGAAGAGATAAGTTTATTCTATCAGTTAAATCTATCAAAACTGGTAGGGATAACTTTGGGTGGAATAGGACTGTTTGACCTAAGATAATGATGTCTCTAGGTTTGGTTTGGAAAGCACGGTTTCTAGTTCGTAATTGGTTTAACCGCAGACAGAAGTTGAGTATGTAGTCATCTGTGTGTTCTTCTATATACTTGTTCCAGAGTTTAGGATCGATTGTGTCCAAGTTAGGGTTAAGGTTAAACTCAACTATAATTGGTATGGATGAGGTAGATTCCATGACCTTTGAGACGTGGTTAATAAACATTGACTCTGGGGGAACTGTGATTTGTTTCACAAAACCCGGGTAGTATCCTAGGTTTTCAAAGCTTGAGGTTGCCAGGAAGGTTTTGGTTGTTGGAGAAAGGTTTACAAATCTGTGTCTTGTCATTGATGTAATTCCTGATTTTTGTAAGGTTTTTGTACCTATAGTGATGGCACTATAGTTTGTCAGGTTCAATTCTTTGAGCCTGTTTGGATTCTCAGCGTAGCTTGCTGGCCCGTACAGTTGTATTTGGTGAATTCTGGTTTTTCCGGTTTTCCATCTAGGTATGTTAATTTCTCGTTCTGAGTTATGAAATTCATAACGAAGGCGGGCAAGGTAGAGTAAAGTGAGGACTTCAAAACGACCAGTTTTCATGAATGTTTCAGTAGTTTGGTAGGTTGGTTTATTTTCTGTAAGTCTTTGTACTGTGAGTAGTGCTGTTTTAAGGACTGTTGGTAGGGTAACTATTTTTAACATTTCTTGAATGTTGAGAGGGTATGCACTAGAGGAGCAACCCAGTTTGTTAAAAGGTTCTATTGATGGAAATAGTTCTTTGAGGTTGATATAAGCTGTTGTGGAGCGGATCGGCATGTTTTTGTACAGGTCCATCGTTTTAACCAGTATATTTTGGTGTGATCTTGATGATTGGATCTCTGTAAGTTGGTTTATTGTGAGTAAGGTACTTGTGAAGGTTTCTGATAAATAACCGTCTTGTGATTTGCAGTTGTGGTCAAAGATTTCATACAGATATGGACCGGCACACATTCTGTGAAGGTTTGGGGCGAGTTTCTTGCCATGTTTGGTGTGGTTATGAAGTAGGAAACTCTCTGGAACAATTTCCCTGCATTGGTAGCATACATGTGAGTGATAGGTATGTGGGACAGTTACATAGTGGAGAGCCAAGGATAGTTTGGAGGGGTAGGTTGAATAATGTTCTCCACAGGGAAAGATTGGGTTTGCATTAGCTATTATTTTTCGAATTGTGGTAGGTACTGTTTTGGCATTGGTCATCAGTTTTTCAATATCATCCTGAGATATTGCTGGATTAAGATGAGGGTTTATGGTGACAGATGTGTCAAAGATTCCTTCAACTGTAGTAGGTGCAAGTTGTCTTAGGGTTGAATAGAATAGGATTTCTATTTAAGGTGTTCATCCAGTCTGGAGAATTGGTGGTTCTCTGCAAAGGGACCTCTATTATGGTGGTTGAGAGGATTATAAAGTGGAGTCCAGCATGTGGAGCATTTCATGTTGGATTGGTTAAGGAAATCCAGAGTTTGGCTTTCTTGAAGTTTTGACAGCATGAGTCTGGTTTCTAGGTTTTGGTATCTTGTGGTCTCCACCACAGCTGTATCACCAATGAAGGTTGGGAGGTTTATTTGAACCAATGTGTCCGGTTGTGGAACCAAGAGAGGAGTTGGAGTCCAAGGTTTTGTTGCAGTGTTATTTGTTTGCATATTTTGATGATGAGATATGTCTAAGTAGTCTAGTAGCTCAGTTTGATCTTCTGCATGATCTTGGAGCATGAGTTGTAGTTCCAGGTTTTGATATGCCATGAGGTTGGGGGGATCTTCAATTTCTTGTGTGATTACATCAACATCTGCTGCCGATAGAAGTGGGATGGGAAATTCTGGTATGGACATCAGTGGTTGGTTGTGGATGGCCGGTTCTTGATGTATTACTTCATTCATTGGTTGTGATGGTTCAGATGTTGATATCATATTGTAAACATATTGCTCGCCCGGGACGGGCTGCAATTGTTCATCCATTGCCCTGAAATATATGAAAATTTTTTTTTTATAATTTAGGAGAAGTAATTGAAGTTTTATGTTGGCCACCAGGGATGAAGTTGGTATATGGTAAGGTTTTTTTTTTTAAAAGTAAATATTGTAAATTGTTGAAATTCTTGAATTTTTGTT